GCAGCAGCAGCAGCAGCAGCAAGAAGAGCAGGCGAGAACTGCAGCTGAATCATTGCAATCAGATGGGTCATCAGGTACCAAGGCAATGCGGGATATTGTCTACAGGGCAGAAGCAGCTATGATGGCTTTTGAAGCAGCAGCAGCTGCAGGCCCATCTGGTTCGTCTTGCCGATGCAGCAACAACCAAAGAAACCCAGGGAAAACCCATAAAAAACCACGATTCATGGTGTGGGGTGCAGGGCGTAGAGTGTGTGGGTGTTTGTACAGAAGCTGATCTTGCGCTTCAGTCCATTGAATCTTCCTTGTCGCTCAACAGCAACAGCACGCAACAGCACGTTGCCGCTCTGCAGCGGCAGCAGCAGCACCAGCTGCGCCAGCTACTGGCAACGTCAGACATCATCATACACGTCCTGGACGCGAGATTGCCCCTAGCATTTCGATGCGCCGGCCTTGAGCGATGGGCCCTTCGGTAGGATAAGGTGTTTATTCTTCAGGGTTCACTGAGCCCCGACGCTATGTGACTTATACGGACTTACGGCCCTATTTCCGAGTGTTTGGTTTAGGGTTTGTTGGCGTGAACCCGTGTGTGCCCGTGCAGGGAAGGCAAGAAAGTTATCCTGCTGCTGAACAAAGTGGATTTGGTGCCAGCACCTGCTCTTGCAGCGTGGCTGCACCAGCTGCGGCGAAGCTCCGTGTGTCCCGTGTTGGCTTTCAAGTGCAGCAACAGCAGCAGCAGCAGCGGCGGCAAGCGAACGGGCAGGTGGTGTGCGGCGGACCCTATTCGCGCCTCCGATAAGCTCAAAAGGTAAGTGTAAGTTTAAACATATGCTCGAAATATTGCGTGAGGGTTGTGAGTTGGGCCCAGAAGGGAGGTGTAAGTCGGGGTTGCATGCCCGCGGTTGTATAGATCTTGATTGAGTTCAATAACGAAAGTAGAAGGTATTTGCTTTGGAGAAATGTTCCATTCAACAAAGGTAGACCTCCGGATCTACTTAAGGAGACAAAATGCACTTGCTTCCCTCCTCCTGCCAGTCTTTCGCACGTGGATTTTGTGTTTTAGCTGTTCACGTCTACGCTGGACTCGCAGGAGCAGCTCGCACGCTCTGGGAGTGCAGTCACTGCGGAGGCTTCTTTCTTCTATAGCTCACGCAGCGGCAATGCCTTCCCGTTCTGGAGATGCAGCAGCAGCAGCAGAGCCAGATACAATGGCAGTCGAAGAGGGCAACACGAACCCGGAGACATTAAGCCGACCTAGCGGCAGCAGCACCAGCGGCACCAGTACTGCCAAGGCATTCATGACAGTTGGTGTTGTGGGGTACCCAAACGTAGGAAAGAGCTCTGTGGTGAATGCCCTCACACGCAGTGTATCTTCAGCTGGAGTAGCTGCGCTGCCGGGCAGCACCCGCCAGTTGAAATTCATAAAGCTTGACTCCCACACACAACTCATTGACTCTCCGGGAGTCCTCTTTTCTCCCCCAGCAAGAGAGGAGGACACCGCGAGAATTCTGCCACACCCGCATTCCTTGGTAGGCATGTACCAGCAGCAACAACCGCAGCAAGCGCAACAGCAGGAGAAACCCTTGTCGGCATCTGGATCGTTGCTGCTGCAGTCGCTGCTACCGGTTCCTCAGATCCCGGAGCCGGAGGCCGTTGCTGAGGCCCTGATAGCAATTTCGAGTGTCAGTATACTGCAGCGACTATACCAGCTGCCCTCCTTCTCCACCCCACGGGAAGCGCTTCAAGCGATCGCAAAGCGCAGAGGGAAGCTCCTCAAGGGTGGAACGCCGGATATACAGGCCGCTGCGAAGATGCTTCTGCAGGAGTGGCAGGAAGGCCGCGTGCCATACTATTCTTTGCCTTCGGGATTTATTGACGCAGTCAGTCACGCGTGCAGCACCAGCTTCTCTGCCTATTGGTTTTCTTGCGTTTCCCATGACAGGTTTTGTGCCGCATCGTAGGCTGAAGGCGCGCTTCGCTTCAGGCCGCATTACAGCCTGCCTAGTGTTTCCCTCGGTCTCCCTCCATGAGATATCGGTTTGCTCGAGGCTCGTGTGTTACTGATGCGCACATAGGAACCCTTGCGCCTTGTTAGCGTCAATGGGGTGGCGGACGAGGTCGTCGTTGCGCTGCAGCAGGAACTGCTGGATAGGCAGCTGGCGTCACTGGGGTTCTCTGCGGCAGCCGACAAACCACAAGTGGGTGTCGCGACTGAGGGTAACCAGACTTCTGCCCCAGTGCAGGGAGCGATGGTAAGTTGTCCTAGCTTCATTGTCTGCAGCGGCGAGCGCCTCAACCTTTGGTACCCCTTCCCAAGAGACACGAATGCCCTGTCGGACGGGGGTTGAGTTTCTCCTGTTGCCCCTTCCAAACTGAACCCGCTCCGCCGAACTAACGCAGAAGGCCCAGAAGCAAAGTGTCGCGTGGACTTCTCCTGAACTTTCTCACCCTGTAACATCAGGGTCCCTTCGCGGGTGTTGGTGAACTCGTTCGGGTGTTGCTGATGCTGTTTGGTTGGCATATCCGCAGCGTCTCATGTTTAGGGACATCACAACCACAAAGAGAGAGAGGGAGAAAGAGCGAGCTCAGGAAGAGGTGAGATAGCTGGCTGAGAGTCCAGTCACTGCTCGCCACAGGTTTGAGCTTTGGAGGCTTTTGAGCGCAGGATTCGGTGGTTACAAACATATTTCGATAGGAAAGACTGTCAGAGGTTCACTTTGCGGCTGAATGTGGCGTCGCAGGGGTCAGAACGAATGGAACATGTGGTTCTTCGGCAAAAGCAGCGCAAGGTATGGCGAATGGTTTGGCTATATCCACTATCCGTTGAAACCATCCACTGCCACCGGTTTTACTTGCCGTCATTCGCAGCGTTTTTCTTGGCAATTGAAGGCCCTTGTCTATGTTCGTTGCTGGTAAGACGCACAATTTCTGCGGGGTTTTGATTTCTCAGCAAGGAAAGAGACGTCGGCGTGGCGAGTCAGCATCAGTGTCCATGGAGGTAGGTTCGTGCTGCCCAGTTCGGATCATCCTTCCTTCCCTGCTTAGTCGTTAAGCTGTATATTAACGCTCTCGCTGTGCCATTCCGCTGCATGTCTATGCTATGCGGCTCTGCAGGAAGATAAGGCGGTTGACAAACAAGGCGAAATTACAGATGGGCTCTGAATGCTTAGCTTGCCAAGTGCTGCAACAGTACGCAGCTCGCGCAGTCTTAAGAGCAGAGCGAATATTTGTTCAGTTTGGCGTGGCGCCGGTGTGCGTGGAATAGAAAAGATGATGAATTACCCCATCTAGGCCTGATGGTGACATAACTGGTTTGCCTTCCACGAGACAGAATCTGTCTTTTTGAAGGTTTGGCTACAGATGTCAGCTGTCCGTTGCTAACAACTATTGTCCCCGCTGCAGACCGGCCGAACAGCACCAGCTAATTAGGAAATCGCATAATACTAAGTACATCGCTTCTTGGTTACTTGCATAGCGACTATTGCTGGCCAAAAGTTGCAAATCAAGACATAGTGACCCGCTATATGAGCCTTCTAGGTAGCCGAGTAAGGCAAGGCAGCCCCCTGTAGAAGCACGGCTCACCCCGATTACGTCTGCATCACCGTTCCCTTCCTAGACATTTTCTGGCAGCTGGAGGCGAGCACCGCGTTTTGCAAGACAGCCAGATGCATAAGAATGCACCAGAGAGGAAAGAACAACAATGCAGCCTCAGGGGCACAAGAGTGTATTGCGCTGCTTGCATTGACTGGGGAGGCTCGGGCTCTGGAGCAGCATCCTTCAGAGATGACAGTCAAGCCATATTTGTATGCAGATAGGCAACTTAAAGACAAACAACTGATGCATCATGAGGGTATTTGGACTTCCGTGCACGTGGGGCTTCTTGCACTGTGTTTTTAATAGGCAGTGCTGCAAACCAGAACAGCCAGCGTTCTCTCTCCAACCAAAGGACCATCCGTGAGGGTGAGCCAGCCCTGGATTAAAAGCAATCCGCTGAAAGTGGAAGAAAATGCAGGTGCATGAAAATGATCAAAGGCCGCACTAGTTTGTCTGAAGAGTTGCATACTTTGAGAAGTTGGTTTCTCCTAAATGGGAGCAGAGGCGGCTACATGCCGAGATTGTGTACAGTGCCACATTGTGCCGCCCCAGCATTCATTCGTCGCCTCTGTGCCAACGAAAACAACCAGGAACGTCTGTGGGGTAGGTGGACGGAGGCTTTCCTTGGAGACAAGTCCGGGAGGCACGTTCCTGGTCCGCTTGTCAGGATGTAGTGGTTTTGTTCGGAATGCCCGCCTCGATGCATGTTCTTTGCGATATTACCCTCCGCAGGTTGATTTGTACCACAGCGTGGATGGCATTTGTGGTAGTTTCGTGGTTGGGATGCCTAAGTACGAAAACTCTTCGTACATCAGCACTTGGATACAACAAGTATCTGGAAGCCTTCCACTGCGAATGGGCGGGGCTTGCTGCCAAGCCCCGCCCATTCACGGTTGACAGTGAGTTAGCGAGTGGCATTAAAAATAATCTAAAGAATCTAAGGAATACCATTCAGAGAAGAAAGCTGTTGGTGGAGTCGCGGGGGCAGGGCGCTTAACATGCTCGACGGTGATTCGGAGCGCGAAAGATACCCCAATAAAACGCGCTGGTATACTTTGGACTTATATTCGAAATAGGGACTTTCCAAGGGCACTGTTTCACTATTTGAAGTAGTGCCCTTGGAAAGTTCCTATTTCAAATAGTGAAATAGTGCCCTTGGAAAGTCCCTGCGTGGAGCTTGCGGGTAAGCTTAATGAGCCCTTGGGGCCCTGCCGCTGCTGTGACTCAACTCGATGGGGTGAAGTAGCGAGCTTGCCTTCTGTTCCAATCCACAGCAACTCGGACGCTGCCGCAACATCTGACTGATGACCAGCCTATTGACGTGTTCACCTGATATCCGTAAGGATGCGATTGCGTTCAGCCCGAATCTAGAATAAGGACTCCGGAGAAGGAAGGCCGGACTCACGGGCTGGGGGCTGCATCCTAGGGCAGCAAGAAGGATAGGTGGGCGCCCACCTGCTTGCTTCGTGACCATGTTAAGATGGATGGCAAGGAACTCTATCGCATTATGAGGCTACCTCTGTGATTGTCAATTGTTGCGCTCGAACGGAAGGCAGCGAAACCGTTGTGCTGGGGAGTCCATGGGAGCTGAGGTATTTAGGTGGTGTGTTCCGGCGTTTCAACCGGAGTAAAGAGCGCCAAAAGCGTGGAAGGCGATATTATGGGTCTAATAGAGTGCGTTGGAGTGATGAGGCAGTAGGTCACGGGACCGGAAGAGCCACCGTCGTGAACAGGGAAGCGACCGCTTTGGGGGGAGTCCAAAGCCTGTGCCCTTTTGTTTTATTTTTACTTCTTCGCCGTGCAAGCAGTTTATACTAGGTGTAGCAACGAGATTACTTGATGAAAGCTGGTGCCGTGGCCCCTTTTGTGAAGTGTACGTATGGAGAGGGATCAGGTGCTGGTCTACCCCAACGCAACAAGCATGGGCAACGTAAGTGCACAGCCTACGCATTGCTGGAATGTCTTACTTTACATGCTCCTGATGAGGGGTAGCAAGTGGAGCGGCTCGTACGAGTGTGTTCATGCAGGCCTGAGAGAGTTAATACGGCCGGTGCTGGCACGTGAGCCACCCTGGGATTCAACGAAACCCATAGTCGAGCAGGATTTGCAATGTTCTTAAATTGCAAGGCGTTTTGAAACTGGATACGTCTTCTCTTGCAGTGATAGACTGACGAGCAGTGCACCATGCTGGCTGTGGAGCTCGTCGACATCGGAATACTTCCCACACGGTTCAGCATGTGGTGCCTGGCGGGAAGCGCACCTCCCGCGGGGTGCTGGTGCTGCGATTAAAACAATTTAGTTACCCGTTCCGGAAAAAATTAGCAAAGCGTTAACATTTCTATGTGTGTTGTGTGTTAAGATAGGAAAAATGCCCTGTCCGGTTGGCCTTCTGCGTAGCGGAGGCGTTGTCTGGTTGGTTATCAGTGGAGGTAGCTTACTTTGGTGCTGTTCAGTGGTGTCTGGGCTAGTTGGTAAATTTACCCAGCATGGGATGTTGTTTATGCTCTGTAAATCAACCAAGACGCAACATTGAAGTTCGGGGCGAAAGGCCCTCTTCGGTTTCATTGGCTCGCGTGACCCGTGCAGAGATGCATTGGCATGGTGGAACCCTGCAGGCGTCCAGGGTGGAGGAGTTCGCAGCTTTGAGCTTCCCATTTTGAAAGCCTTTCCGATGCTACCTTAGGGTTATTATTAAAGGGCTAGAGCATTCTTAAGTGATTGTCTAACGTGGCTTTATGCTGTAGTTAGCGTAGTCATCGTACTACACCCGCCCGAACGCCGTAGAGCCTTTGGGCTGTCCATGGATAGTGGATAGAATGTTTTTCTACTATGCTGGCAAGGAAGGCGAAGGCAGACGTTGGCAAGTGGTCATTTTTAAGCCTAGGTTGGTGGTTACTGATGTGAAGATACGTCAGGGTCTACTATTTTCAGGTGCCAAAGACGATGGCAGGAGGCGAGCGGCCGTCTCTGCGAAGCAGAGCCATATGCGTTCTAGGGAGGCAGAACTTCACTACTCTGGAAAGGCGTTCTTAGCGTGGAGGTTTGTTGTTACTCAGTTAACAGCGCTTTCTGAGTTACAAACGGTCGTATATTCAACGCATGCCAAGCCATCATCTGGATACCATGGGACACCTGCAACTGATATAGAGCGACGCAAGGCTTAGTTGAGCTGAGCTCATTCAAAGAAGCACTCTCAGGTAACACTCCCTTTTCTGTATATTTTTTTCCTTTTCCAAAAAGGATGGACGCGGGCTTAAGTTCATTCCCCGAGTTGCCGCCCATGGAGCCTCAAGTTGCCTCAGAGGATTGGCGATCCTTTCTTGGGAAGAATTCAGCAAAACGCCAGCCCCATATCAC